TATATATATATATATATATATATATATATATAATTTTTTTTGTCGGATTCGAGTTAAATTCGCGTTCACGAGGCCTTAACTTGAGCCTAACCCAAATTAAATTCGGATTAGAGTTTTTTGACTCAAGCCTAACTCAAATATTATAAACCCTTATCCAAATTTTAATTTTTTTACATTAAACTCGATTAAAATCGATTTGCCTAACTCAAATTGCACCCCTAATTTCACCCATCAATAATATTAAATAGAACGGCCTCAATAAACCAATCGAATGGTCTCAAATTCATTCGAGTATCGGTTAGCATTACTCCCATTCAATTTTCTCTCTCACACACGCTCAATGTCAGAGACCATTGCCTCATAGCCTCCCCTTCTCTCTCTCTCTTCCTCTCTCTGTGTTAAGCCATCTCCACCGACTCCGCCATCGCCACAGCGACACCGCCTCCCAGGTATCTCTCTCTTCCTCTCCCTCTCTCTCTGTTAATCGGCTGTGTATCGTACGCATCTAGCGCAATCTAATTGACCTAACCAGATCGCAAAACCCAGAGTTGCAGCGGGTGCTCATCTTTATACTGATCCCTCTTCTCTGTTAGTTGCTACACTCCGCGGCTCAAAGAACAATTAGGTACTGTGATTTTTCTTCGCTAATTTTTTCTCTATTTCAAATATTATTCATTTTCTCTACCTTTCTCAATTCGTATCTATCTTTCCAATCTATCCATTCGTTCGATTTGAGAACTAGGGTATATATATATATATATATATAGTTTATGTGTATGAATGTTTCATTTTTTTTTCTATAATTATGGTGCTGTTTTATGTGAATTTGCGACGATTTATGTTTCTAGGTCACTCAGAACCGTTGGTGTGCTCTCTTCATCTGATATGTTAAGAAAACTTATTATTGTATTTATTCTTTGTCTTCTTTTTTTTTTTNCTGTCTCACCTCTTTTCCTTCATCTCACGCACACAACACACATAGATCTCATATCTCTTTCTTCATGTCTCCCACCAATCAAGCACACACACACAAACCCACAGCACATGCACACTGATTACACACCTAGCAACACATGCACACACACACAAAGCAGAGCAAACACAAACACACCCCACAACAACACACACACATGAACACACAATCAACCCAACTGGATGTTTAATTTGGGACACAATAATTGGGTGTTAATTTGGGTTTTTGAGTCTTAGGGTTTTCAAATTGGGTGTTAAATAGGATTTGTGAAATTTTAAAATGGTTTTTTTAGGGAATATATGCCCCTTTTTGGATTTTATCTTTGATGAAATTTCAAATTGGATTTTTTATTTATCAAATTGGTTACTCAAACAACCGCTCACTTACAGGTACGATTCACTCCCCTCAATCACCACCCCTCTCTCTCTTTGGGTTTATTTGGTTTTGCTTTTCATTTCCATATGTCTGTCTCCCTACTTCTATTTGTTTGGTTTTACTCTTTGTTCAAATGCCTAATGCCCACAAGCTGTTCGATCAAATGCCCCTGACAAACATTATTTGTCAAACGCACCATTTGAATCACACACCCGTTAAAAAAAAAAAAATCACAGCCATCCACACACATCAATTGAACTTTTTTTGTGAGGTCATTTAACTTAGGGTGCAACTCGGGCGGGTTGGACAAATCAATCCTAGCCCAACTCTAGATATATAATCTTCAACCCTAACCCTACCTCGAGTTAGAGAACTCAATCTAAGCATTATCCGAGTTTAATTCGGGCGGACTCGGGTTGAATTCGGGTTGATGATTTCGGGTTACTTTACGAGTTCAATTTGGATAGAGCTCAAAATAAGCTTATTGTTCTAAACCTAATATATATATTACATAATATTCACCTAAATTAACAATCAATAACTTCAACTAAGTTTTTAACGAGAAAGATCGAGAAAATGAGAAAGGCAAAGAGAACGAAAGAGACAAAGAACGATAAAACAATAATGAAANAATGTGCCATTGTTTGTATTTGTTGCGTATGTTGTTGTAAATGTTTGTTGTAAGAACTTCAGTAGATGTTTAGTGTTTCAATTTATTACTCTGTCTGACCAAAGCAAGCTCCTATGCAACTATCCAATCTTCATAGCTTGATAGAACTCAAATCTGGCAAGTAGTGACCAACTTTGACATGCGCTTTCAATAATACAGTATAAGTGATGTCATTTGGAGAGACTCCTGAATTTGNTAGTTGCTACACTCCGCGGCTCAAAGAACAATTAGGTACTGTGATTTTTCTTCGCTAATTTTTTCTCTATTTCAAATATTATTCATTTTCTCTACCTTTCTCAATTCGTATCTATCTTTCCAATCTATCCATTCGTTCGATTTGAGAACTAGGGTATATATATATATATATATATAGTTTATGTGTATGAATGTTTCATTTTTTTTTCTATAATTATGGTGCTGTTTTATGTGAATTTGCGACGATTTATGTTTCTAGGTCACTCAGAACCGTTGGTGTGCTCTCTTCATCTGATATGTTAAGAAAACTTATTATTGTATTTATTCTTTGTCTTCTTTTTTTTTTTAAAATGAAATCTAATGTGCCATTGTTTGTATTTGTTGCGTATGTTGTTGTAAATGTTTGTTGTAAGAACTTCAGTAGATGTTTAGTGTTTCAATTTATTACTCTGTCTGACCAAAGCAAGCTCCTATGCAACTATCCAATCTTCATAGCTTGATAGAACTCAAATCTGGCAAGTAGTGACCAACTTTGACATGCGCTTTCAATAATACAGTATAAGTGATGTCATTTGGAGAGACTCCTGAATTTGACATCTTATACAGAAGATTCTCTGCTTCCACCACTCTACCATTCTGGCAGAGGCCATTGATTGCAACAGTGTATGTATATACATTTGGGAGACAATTCGGCTGCTTCATAAGATCTAAAACTTTCAAGGAGTGGGTGGATTGTGTAATTAGCATTTTATATATTGTCTAATACAGATTGATAGTTTCTTGAGGTTCGATTTGTAGGAAAAATTTTGTCCAAATTTTTTAAATGAACGCAGAAAAATAGTTGATTAAATATTAATGATTTTTGTTTAGCATAATATAGTGCTTTGAGGCACATACATTTCTTCTAATTGTATTTTTTATTATGAATGAAAAGAAAACATTTTGACTCATTTTAGTTCACCAAAATCATGACATTAAGTTAAATAAGTGAATGTCGGTTCTTAAACCGATCATCGCTTACTAATCGCTACTGTTAATTTTAATTAGATATGTAATTTCAAGAATATGAATTTCATACGTTTTCAGTTTAAGTTTATGAGACTTTTATCATTAAAGTAGAGTATTTTCCATCTTCATATAGGTCATACGTTGTTGATCACTAATTCAAAGTGCAGGTGCGTTAAGGATACAGTTGTATCTTCCAGCTTAATATGCGTGTTCATGTTCAGTACTCTATTTTTTTGTGTTCACAATCAATGTTCGATTTTTTTACATTGTACTGTGCCTTCAGGCACGGGTTATCATTAGTCTATAATATAAAACATGACATGCTTCAATAAACCCATCTGACAGTCTCAAATAGACTTATCCAATGGCCATCAACACACTTTTCAAATCCATTCACATTGAATTTTACCTTCCTCTCCTCACTCTTCGCTCTCTCTCTCTGGGATCTTCACCTCCGTACATGGGTTATTTCTAGTTACATCATTAAGTTAGGGTATTAAGTCTAATATTTAAACTCTAATAATGTGATTGATTTATATTGTTGGACTGAGCATGATAGAGGCTCAGGTCTATTTTTGAAAGCCCCAATGGTTTAATGCATGTTTTAAGTATGTTTGATGCATTCAACTAAAGTTTGGCTTATTGAAGCCTAGACTTTTCTCTACTATAGAATTTTCTCTAGATTTCAGTTTATTTGATTTCCCCTAAGATCATGAGATGTATGTACCCATGAGAAAAAAAAATGATTCCATTCATCATCAAAAAATTGAAAAACTCATGGCACTGTGCATATTTTTTAATTGGATGTAGAAATGGTTAAGACAAAAAAGAAGAGTATGTCTGTCTCCCTGCCTGTTAAAAAAAAAAAAAAAATCACAGCCACATACACACACACCTTTTTTTCACTTTTGCTTGGACTGCATTTACAGGCAGTGTTCACACACAGTTGCATTTCTTCTTTCGGAATTAATACGTGTTCTTTATTTTTTGTGAATGTATGAGTTTAATTCATTTCTTTTACAAAATTAATTTCAGGTAGTGATCATGGAGTCAAAGCACACGGGGATGGGTTCCACGACACCCTACGGCTCAATCTCAGCACCCCAAGAAGAACACGATACATCCACAGCCATCAATTCATCTTCATCCTCTTCAACTGTCCGATTCGGCACTCCTGAAGCCCTCGAACACGTTCGAAAACTCACTGATGTAGGAGCCATGACTCGTCTCCTCCACGAATGCATTGCCTACCAACGAGCCTTGGATCTTGAACTGGACACCATTCTCTCCCAACGCTCCGATCTTGACAAACAACTCTCCAACCTCCACAAATCCACTGAGCTCCTTGAGATCGTCAAGGCCGATTCCGACCACATGCTCTCCAACGTATGCTCCACATGCGATCTCGCCGATCAGGTCAGCGGCAAAGTCCGCCAACTTGATCTCGCTCAGTCCCGCGTCAGTGACACTCTTCTCCGCATTGACGCCATCGTAGAGAGAGGTAATTGCATTGATGGCGTTAAGAAAGCTCTCCAAACTGAAGATTTTGAATTGGCTGCTAAATACATCCAGACCTTCCTCCAGATCGATGCCAAATACAGAGATTCTGGTTCGGATCAGAGAGAACTATTGCTAGCATCGAAGAAACAGCTGGAAGGAATTGTCAGGAAGAGGTTATCGGCTGCTGTGGATCAGCGGGACCACCCAGCGATCCTTCGCTTCATTAGATTATACTCTCCTCTCGGTTTGGAGGAAGAAGGATTGCAAGTGTACATAAGTTATTTGAAGAAAGTAATTTCGATGAGATCTAGGCTCGAATTCGAGCAATTGGTGGAATTGATGGAGCAACAGCAATCCTCTGCTGCTACTACTAATCAAAATCAGGTGAACTTTGTTGCTTGTTTGACGAATTTGTTCAAAGACATTGTGTTAGCCATAGAAGAAAATAATGAGATTTTAAGGAGTAATCTATGCGGTGAAGATGGAATTGTGTATGCCATATGTGAGCTCCAAGATGAGTGTGATTCTCGGGGTTCCTTAATTTTAAAGAAATACATGGAATATCGGAAATTGGCTAAGTTGACATCCGAAATTAATACTTACAAGAGTAACTTACTTTCTGTTGGAGTCCAAGGACCTGACCCAAGGGAGATCGAATTGTATTTGGAAGAGATTTTGCAATTGACACAGTTGGGTGAGGACTACACTGATTATATGGTGTCCAAGATAAGAGGTTTGAGTTCAGTTGATCCGGAATNTAACACAGCTGGGTGAGGACTACACTGATTATATGGTGTCCAAGATAAGAGGTTTGAGTTCAGTTGATCCGGAATTGCTTCCCCGAGCAACCAGAGCTTTTAGGAGCGGAAATTTCAGTAAAGTTGTTCAGGACATTACGGGTTATTATGTGATTTTGGAGGGGTTCTTCATGGTGGAAAATGTAAGGAAGGCTATTAGCATTGATGAGCATGTACATGACAGCCTCACAACGTCCATGGTGGACGACGTGTTCTATGTTCTGCAGAGTTGCTGCAGGAGGTCGATATCCACTTCTAATATTAACTCAGTGATTGCGGTACTGAGCAGTGCTGTGAGTTTGTTGGGTGGTGAGTATAATGAAGCATTGCAGCAGAAAATGAGGGAGCCTAACCTTGGAGCGAAGCTGTTCATGGGTGGTGCTGGTGTGCAAAAGACTGGGACAGAGATTGCGACAGCTTTAAATAACATGGATGTCAGTAGCGATTATGCACTAAAACTACGGCATGAGATTGAAGAACAATGTTCAGAGGTCAGTGGCAATTGTACTTCTCTTTTGGTTATTTCTATTCAGTCCCCGTCTCTCTTAAGGATTTTTTTGTATTCTATATATAATTTATAGTGATAATGGTATATCTATAGTCTATAGTACTAATAAAAGTACCTTAAGTGAAAAACTTTTGATTCTCTATTTTACCCTTATTAAAAATTTTAATTACCATATTATCTTTCCATAAGTTAAATATCTAAATTACAATCACGTCCTTATGTATTTAAATCTCCAATTTATCCTCTAACATTTCTTTTACTTCTCTATTATCTTTGTATAAATATCAATATTTATAAAAAAAAAATTAATTGACTACATTACTCTTAAAAAAATATATGCATCATTATGGTTTTCAATAAAGTGTTCAAAACTTCATCAATAAATCATACTTTTTTCAAATGTATAGATAACATTATGATTATATGTATGTATTTTTTTCCATCTATACTACTTATAAAGAAAGAAACTTTTGTCTTAGCATAAAAATTTATTGATTCACTATTTTACTCTTATAAAATATTTTAAATACCACACTATCCTTCAATATTTGAATATCTAAATTGTCATCATATACTTGTATGTTTAAATCTCTAAATTACCCCTAACATCTCTTTTAATTCTTTATTTACTATATATAATTATCAGTATCTATGAAACTTTTTAATTGACTACGTTACCTTTAAAACATATATGCATCACTATAATTTTTAATAAGACGTTCCATTTTTTTTTTAAAAACTTTATCAATTTAATATTACTCATTTTCAATATAAAGATAATATTATTCTTATATATGTGTATTTCCTTCATCCAAAATTTCAACTATTTAATTTTTAAGATAAAAAATAATCTTTTACATAGTTTTTTTTAAATACCTTATATTAAATTAACATAATTCTTCAATTACAATAAAATTTTCATATTTTATTAAGAGTTTATATAAAAAAATTATATTGTATTTTTAAGTAAAACTTGAATTTTAAAATTTTAATATTCTTTTAAAATATATATTATAGAGTTGTATATGATATTTTAAGGTGAATAGCACTTTTAGTCCCTAAAATATGCATGTTTTGTCAGTTTGATTTTCATTGTATCAATTTTGTTAATTTGATCCTTAAAGTATTTAGTTAATGTTTAAATGATCCATATATAGACAATATGTTAAATTTTTTATAAAAGTAGTCATGTGATACTATTTGATGGAATAACATGTTATTTTCGTCAAAAAACTTAATTAACCATTTGGTTAGGGACCATTTAAACAAGAATTAAATATTTTAGGGATTGAATTGATAAAATTTATGTACTGAGGACTAAACTGACAAAAAGCGCAAACTTTAGAGAACCAAAGTGTTATTAATTCTATATTTTATCCCTATTAACCTAACTAATTATAGTAAGCATTAATTAGAATATTAAAAATTATTTTTATTTTATTCAATGAATTATAAGTTGAAATATAATCAAATGAATTTCAAATAAATTATTTTTATCTTTTTTTTTATACTTAAAACAATGAATCGTTGGGAACAAACAATATTTTCAAATTCTATAATATAATATGAGCAATAAAATATAGTTTTGATAAACTTGAAATAATATTTAATGTAGGTATATATATACTTAATACTTTTTATTAATATTTCGTGTATGAAAATTATTTACGTGCAACGCATGTGGTCCATTACTAGTTATACATAAAAGACTCAATAGTTTATGATAAGTAAATGCTATGTCTAGTCATCTAGCATGAAGTTTTGGACTAAAGCATCAAATCTAGCATTGTGCATTTTTAGCTCTTATATGGGTGTCGTGAATGGAGAGGAATGTGATAATTTTTTAAGATAACTAGGAGGAGGTCAAATCTTTATGGGTTCGAATGCCTTTTTTGGCTTCTTTTTGGGCTTCCGTTGCAAAGGCATTTAAGAGTATTTTTTTTTTTTTGTATTACTTCGAGTTGGACAACAACTATTGAATTGTAATTTTATTTTTCTACTATAGTTTTAGTACCTTCATGGATTTTGGAGGCTTTTTATGGGNTTGTATTACTTCGAGTTGGACAACGACTATTGAATTGTAATTTTATTTTTCTACTATAGTTTTAGTACCTTCATGGATTTTGGAGGCTTTTTATGGGTTGGACGGCTTGTCCACCTTTGTTTTGGTTCTTTTCTATCAATAAAAGTTTTTTTCTTATCAAAAAAATTGTAGTTAGCAATCATCAATTTTTTTGTAGACAAACGTGTATTCAACATATATAATTTAAATGATGACTCTCATTTTCTTAATTTCTCTTTTTTAAAACTTTTATGCTTCATTTACTTTTGTTATTACATTTTGAGTACAACTTTAACATGTGTAGTCTCCATAATTATATTTTCTGTCATAGTTTAAGATATCTATTAGTCAATTTTTTAAGCCTTTGTTATTCATATGTCAATAAAAGTTTATTGTTTAGTAGTAGACATGGTCTAAAGAAGTGTCAGATACGTGTCTAAAATTATAATTTTATCAATTAATTATGGACACGAATAAAAGAGTATCAAACACGTGTTCGAGAGCTTCTGAGAAGTGTCGGTGTCTGACATGGATGCATCACCTCTTTGTGAGTGTCCGTGCTTCATCGTTAAAAGATCACAAAAATCTTCAATTATGGTCTCTTCTAGTGGGCATTTGTCTCTGGGGGAAGGAGTAATGGTCTTCTTTCTTCTTCTGATTTGGTTACTAGTGTGAGGAAGAATACTAGTTCCGGGATGGGAGTCTTTGTGGAGGGAATGTTAGTTCTTTTGAAGGGAGGTATTGAGGGGAGAACTCCAATTACAGGAAGGGGTCAGGTTCCATAACTTTGATGAAATGGATCTTATGAGAAGGGTTTGGTGATTCTTGGGAAAATTGGACCCATGAAGAGTCTAGGAGATCTAATTTCTGTCCCTGGTCCATAATATGGTATCTGTGATCATATGTTGGGTATTAATAAAAGGTTTTCCATAGTTAATCTTAATTCAAGGAACCCAAATGTTGTGATAGCTAGGGCTATTGTTAGTATGGTGGAGATGTGAATGGGAAGAGGATAGAGTTAGGAGCGAGTTCAATGATTTTTTTTTTGTTAGATGATGAGAAATGGGTGTTGAGAAATTTCTTAGAAAAGATGGATTGTCCTTAGTCCCATCAAAGAAGCAATAAAAACAAAAGAAGAAATTGAGAAGTGAAAGGAAGAGGAAGGGGATGAGAGTGTAAAAATCTAAATTCTGGGATAAACTATGAGGGGAAAGTTCAAGGAGGATTGGGGAGGGAGTTATTTCTTGTTATGGAGATTGTTGTTAGTTGGACCGTTAGAGGGTTAAGGTCGTGTAGGAAGAGACGTTCAATGAAGGAGTTTTTGGGTAGGATTGGGTTGGATGTTGTAGTTTTATAGGAAACTAAGTTGGAGATCATTGATAGCAGAGTTATTCGAAGTGTGTGGGGGGTCTAGGTTTAGGAATTGGGCTTTTCTACCTTTTGTGTGAAGTTCATACGGTATTGTCATTATTTGGGATGAGAGGTCTGTCGTTGTGAAATCATCACTTGAGGGGGATTTACAGTTTTAATTAGAGTTAAACATAGAGATGACTTTGATTGGTGGCTCCCTTGGGTTTATGGGCCTAACAAACCTAGGCTTAGGTATTCGTTGTGGGAAAAGTTAGTAGGTTTGTTAGGAAATTGAACTTAAGGATCCTTCTTTGACTGATGGTTTGTTTACGTGATCAAATTTGAGTAGGGTGGTTTGTAAGAGGTCAGATAGATTTTTATTTTTTGTAGGATGAAAAGATTGTTTTTCAGGATTAGGCCGGAGGCCAATGTTTTTAGATCATTCTCCCATTGTGAGCAAATTCTAAATTTAGATGGGGTTCTTTTCTGTTTATATATGACAAAAATGTGCGTGGCACATGGAAATTTTAAGAGGAGGATTAGGAAGTGGTGGATAGAGGGAGGGTTCCAAGGGTGGGAAAGGTTTAGATTCATGAAAAAGCTTTAGTTTATAAAACAAAAATTAAAGGTGTGGAACAAGGAGTATGAGGATGTTTGTGAAGCAAAAAAGAGGCTCATTTTGGAGAGGATTGATGAAATTATATGAAGCAGAGACACTCTCAAGGAGGTGACGTATCAGTGTCCGATATACTTTTATTTGTGCCCATAATTAAATGGTAAAATTATAATTTTAGACACATGTCTGATACTTTTTTGGTGACGTATCTGACAGTTTTTTGAACCAAGTCTAGCACTAAAAATAAGCTTGTGTTGACATGTGATTAGCAAAAGCTTAAAAATTTGACTAATAAACATCTTATACTTTGAGAGAATGTATAATTATCAAGACTCTTTTTTTGGTCAAAATATAATTATCAAGACTAGACATGTTAAAGTTGTGCTCAAAATGTAATAACAAAAGTAAAAAATGCATAAAAGTTATAAAAAAAATAAGAANTCTTTTTTTGGTCAAAATATAATTATCAAGACTAGACATGTTAAAGTTGTACTCAAAATGTAATAACAAAAGTAAAAAATGCATAAAAGTTATAAAAAAAATAAGAATTGAGAAAATAAGAGCAATCATTTAAATTATATATGTTAGGTACACTTCTACAAAAAAATTGATGATTTTTGACTATTATTTTTTCAATAAAAAACTACAATTTTATTGATAGAAAATAACGAAAACAAAGGTGGATAAGTAGTCAAACCCATAAAAAGGTTCTAAAATCCCAGAAAATGCACTAAAATTACAACAACAAAAATAAAATTAGAATCCAATAGTTGTTGTCCAGCTTGAATGAAGTAGTGCAAAAAAGAGGAATGTTCTCAAACTCCTTTGTAACGGCAGCCTACAAAAAAGCCAAAACCCATATAGATTGACCTCTTGCTCATATTCAAAAATTCTTGTTTTTCTCTCCATCCACAACACCCATTAAGAGCAAAAAATACAGAATGCCAAAGAGTTTTCTCCCTTCTACTTCCTCTAAAATCTCTAAATCCACACAAAACTTAGATGACATTGTCCTCAGAGGAGATGCCGACAAAACCTAACAATT